ATTAGAAACAAGTGCATCACTTCTAGTAACAAGTGCCCTACAATGAGCGCCCCCCCTAGTTAGCCCAAGTTATAACTAGGGCTAACATATGTTATAAATAGGTGTAACATAGGTTATAACTAGGTGTAAGAGACTTAAATTAAGTCAAAGTTATAAGTAACATGCAACTAGCATCTCCAAAATGTTGTTTTTGTAACTTAGTTGTATCTCGTGATCAAAATTTTGTGCCGGAAACTTATATGTAAGTTATTGAAGTTAGCAAATCATATTGTGCGTTGGTATCGTTTCTGGCTGCTCTCTACAAAAATACGGGTTTGCACTATTTAGGTGAGAGCCACTCTTTTCAACATAGTTTGATGCTATTTTATGTTTTGGTTGCTGCCCTTTTTTCTTTCTCTCTGTTGCTTTGCATTGGCGGTGGTCCGCCAGTGATGCTCTAAATCTTTGCTTCGCGATGTTTTTGTTCGCAGGGTTTGGGGGTTCTGCGTCCCGGTGGTGGTGGTGTGAGCACCATCATGAGCATGGCTGGCGAGGCGGCTAAGCGCCAGGGCATGCAACACTGGGAGCTTTTTGCCGCTTACATACCTGCGAAGACGTGGGAAACCTTTCAGAAGCAGGACTTGAACATGATGGCAGCTTTAGATGTGCTTCTAAACACGTTGCTGTCTATGGGGTTACGCACCCCATCAGAACCTACGCAGGCGATTTTGGTGGCTCTTTTAGTGCTACGAGAATGTCAAGAACGACAAGCCAAGTTTTTGAGTGGAGACAGCAATGCACTTCGAAGCCTACTTTGCATCCTTACAATGATTAGGGCGTGGAGTTTTGTTTTCGCCTTTTGTACTGTAAAGTGGTCACCAAAAGGGACAGAAACAAATTCCAATAGAGCATTGGTGGTGATGTACTTTTCTCTCTGTTCAAGCGGTTGTATAAGGGTTTTTGCATCAAGTCATGTTTATATAGATATGGGCTTTTCTCTCCTGGCATACTCAGGCAATGTCAAAGCGCAGATGCATGCGAAGATCGCGAAGCACCAGAGCACGCATGGCCGCATGCCGAGTTTGGTTCTCACATTGCCAGCCAATGTGAAGGAGGCGCCAAACGAGATCCTACAGATTTCCTGTCCGGATGGTTGCGAAGTGCCGCAATGTCCTTGGCCCATCGAAGATGTGTTGACGATAGCCAAGAGTGTGCCCCTTCGCAAGCCACGTAAGGATGTGGCTCAGGCCTTGCAGTTTTCAACCAGCGGCTTGCCTGAAGCGACCACCCAGCTGTTTCAGATGTTGTGCTTGGGAATGGCTATGACCCAAACCCAAACTCCCACTGCACCTGTGAATCTCACAATGCTTCGTCCAAGGGATCAGGGTTTGCAGAGCTTGCTGGACAAGGCCAACACTTCTTCTGTGGCTGGGCAATTGGCTTTGGAGAATGTGAAGCCTGTGCCAATGGAGAGCTGCGCGCCAATGCAGAGTCCAGCAGTCCCAGAAGGTAATGTGGAGAATCCATCGGCTCCCAGCGCTCCGGCTCCAAAGGCAATGCTGGCACTCCCTGCGCCAAACATGGTCGCAAACGAAGAGAAAGTTCATGAGCAGACCAAGGCCCAGCCAGCAGAGCCTGTGAATCAAGATGATGGCGTCAAGCCGCAGCCTGCCCAAGACAATGGCAACTCGGAAAGAATTTCCTTGAAGGATTCCATTGAGAAAATAAAGGAAGCTCGCATGAGGACGACAGGGTCGAAGAACGTCGACAGCAAGGCCACCCAAAGGCCTAGGAAGAGGCCTGCAGCGAGTGACAAGATGCCTTCATGCGCAGGCAAAGGAAAGTGTGGAAAGCCTGCCGGCAAGCAGGCCACCAACGAGGGCAAAAGCAGCGCCACGAAAGCAAAGCCTTGGAAGCGACCAGCGGCATGCGATCACAATCGTAAGCCGCAGTCGAAGAAGGATATGAAGAAGGCATTGCTGGCCAAGATCCCAGAATCCATCAAGCGGGTTCACATAAAGGGTTGCTCGAAGTGCCGTTGGGTGCCACATTGCACCATGTCATGCTGGGCTGGCAGAGGCTGGAGGCTGTGATATAGATTGGGGCGCGAGGTCTTGGGCAACCTAAGCCTCATGATTTGTCTAGAGCTTTGGGGTGCGGTGCTGAAAAAAATCACAGGCGTTGCATTTTTGCATGCATTATTCTTGTGTTTCTTGTGTTTCTTGGCGGTGGTCCGTCAAGATAACTACTTATTTTTTCTTCGACGGACTCTTCACACTAAGTAGTTCGAACAGATTGGTTCCTTCGATTTTCCTCTGTCTGCAACCTCGAGCGCACGCCCCATGTGTTGCACAGTATACCAGGGACACTGTTCAGGTTCAGACTTGAACATTTTTGCATGTGTCATTACTAGAATTTGGGCCGACAATCAAATCACCACCCATCAAACCTTGCAAAACAGATTGGTACCACCTTCATACTGCGCCATGGCGTCAGCACCATGGCACAATGACAGCCGCAGCAGGTACATCCACAAGCTAAAGACAGCTGGGCTTTCGGAGGTTGATGAGGACGAGGTTCTGAAATTGAGTTGTCGTTTTGAAACTGTTGACCCACGAGTGTTTGAAAAGCGGCTGGTGAGGGCGTTCAAATGGTTTTAATCCACACTGCTTGTTCCTGTGTTATAGGTGCTGGCTTCATCGTCTGCTTCTTCAACGGCATTGCCATCTTCAGCTTCGATGTTGTTTCAAGCCTTCTGGTGAGGTTTTAGATAAGTTTTTGGTTTGGACCCTGACATGTTTTTTTTTTGACAAGATGTAAGTTCGCTTGGACTTTGGACATGTCTTTCCCACAAGAAGCTTCCCATTCACCGCTTCAACCAGGTAGCAGAGCCAACAGTTCCTGAACTACCAACTGAAGATCCTCAAGAGCCAGATGAACCTCAGCCTAAAGACCCTCAAGAGCCAGGCTCCTTTGACTCAATGCCCATGGTGGACTACGACTGCGATGCAGTGAGCGACCCTTTTGAATTGATTCACGATGCCCCACCAGTGGAAGCGTGCAAATCAGAGGAGGGCCAGGCAGCAAGTGTTTGTAAAGCAGAGGAGTTCAACCCGCCTCAGATTCCTCTTGCCCGAGCTGAGATGCTTGAATGGGCCACTAAGTTGGGAATTAGCAGAAGGCTCCTAGAACGTAATATGGGTGTTTTCCGCGCCAAAAAGGCTCGAAAGTGAGTGGACTGAAGCTAAAGCAGTGAAAAAGAGACATGGTAAGCAGTCAAGCGATTCCAGCACAAATTTTAGCCAATTAATCAAGTGATTGCGAGTCGTTTACAAAAGAATTGTTAAACAAACATACGCATGTATAGAAATTGACACGTACAAACACAAGACTAATGCAAACACTGACATGAAGATAATTTTGTTCAATGAAAACAAACAAACGAAACAAAAGGGTTCGATTTGTCGAGTTGGCTTTGGGCGGTGGTCCGCCCAAAGCATTGTATTCCATGTGCTTCGTATCGAAAACAACCCAGATTTTTGGCTTTGCAAAAATGGCGTTTCGCTACGGGTTCACAACGGCCGACGCGGCCATCAATGTGGCATTCGACCATGTCTTGCCGGGAGTGGACTGGGTCGGCTACCTCAAGCCCAAGCAATCTGTGCGATTGAGATTGGGCGCATCTGAGCTACTTGGCTGATTTGCAGAAAGAGGTTTGCTCAGAATATGTTGCGCTGCCTTTTTCGTATTTGGTGTATATAGCTAGCTTGGTATCTCGAAACGCACCAAAATCGGAGCCTCTATTGCTCAGTCCATGGTTTGGTAATTGAAGTGTTGTTGAAGTCAACTATTCAATTAAAGTCTTCTTGGTGCCGTCGAACTGGGTTTTTAACAGCCAAGCAAATCCGGTTGTTCCTTTAACGACGCAGGCTGTACCTCAGCACAAATTGGTATCAGGGCAGCTTCACAAAGTTCCAGTATCATTCTGAAGAAATGGTTCTCAGTGCTGGAGCAGATGCAAGCTACAAGATCTATTGTGACCAGCGCCAGAATATTGCTGCAGTGATCGACATGGGGGTGGTTAACCCTGCAATGCGCATCCTGATTTTGACCAAGAAATCAGACAAAGAGATCGAAGTGACAAGTTTGGCTGCAGATAGCTTTGGGTCCTTTGAGCTTACTGATGAGATGAAAGGCTTCGAGCTTGCAGAGAAGGCGGTCATGGCCTTTGACAAAACCATCCCGGAGATCGAGAGAAACCAAAAATGCCGCATTGTCATTGGCACTGAGACCTTGGTGGAGGAGAAATGGAGAACAAAGGCGAGAGTTCTTTTTGGTGAAGGTGACAGCAGTGATGACGCTCCTGCCTTGAAAAGGGTCAGCAAGGGTGAGAAGAAGACAAAAGGTGAGAAGAAGAAACCAAAAGAGATCATCCAAGCAAAGACCAAGCCGCAACCAAAAGCTGCTAAGAGACCAGCCGTCAACAAGAAGCCCGCGAAGCGCTGAGGATTTTAGGATTTTGATGTTGCGGTTTTAGTTTTTGAGATCTGATGAGGCTATAATAGAGTCTCAGTTCAAAGACGGCGTGCAGCGTTGGCCAAAAATAACTTAAACTTGAGGCTTGTGTTTGAGTGTGTTCAGGCATAGCAAGCAAGAAGCTCAATCATCAAAATGCGTAGTTGTGCTTAGGCGGTGGTCCGCCTTTGCACGTAACACCATTCAATTGCATGTAACACTATCATGGTGTATCATGGTGTGTATTGTGTCAGTACAGTATCAGAATGTATCAGGTTGTATCAGGCTCTCCTGATACATCCTGATACCATCCTGATACACTTCGAGAATGTATCAGGAATGTATCAGGTTGTGTCAGGCTACCCTGATACATCCTGATACATCCTGATACCATCCAGACACCACCCTGACAACATCTTCATTAGTGGGTTCAATGCATGATGGTTTTAACATCACGCAATCTTTTTGTTGAGTGCCAAACCTTGAAAGAGCCCCTTCCTTTGCTCATGAGCCGCCGGCTGGAGGACACCTTTGAAGAAGAAGTCATGGAAAGGATTGAAAAGGAGGCCCAGAACCCAATCCCGACAATTCCTGTGGAGAGCCAAACCCAGGTTGCAGAAGTTGATGACCATCAACTTGTTGCCGGACACGAGGCGGCTGAGCAAAAGGATACTGAGCCAGTGATGTGCCCCAAATGCCAATTGCCCATCAATGCAGAGAACTCGGTGGCAAAATACATTGCCAAGGGCGATTCTTCACAGAGTTCTTTCCTGTGCAAATCATGTCACTCTACTGATGTGATGTGCTCCCGCCACTTCTCAGAGATGCCATCTGGTTGGAACAATCTTAGTGATGAAGAGCAGGTGAGCTTCTACAGGCGAGTCCTTGCAGAGAAGCAGAGAGGGCCATTGAGGTTCAAAGTCCTGAGGACTGAATTGAAAGACACCTTGGTGAAGAAGAAGATTGAAGAAACCAGAAAAGGCAGCAAGGGAAAATTTGAGCCTCTTGAAACCTACCGTCTGAGAGGATACGACATTGAGAAAATCCAGGAGTTGGCAGAGATGGAAACACATCCCATTTTGGGACCAACGTACAGAGTTGATATCAATCATGTCTGCACAGAGTCGATCGAGCAAACTGTGGAGGAGGCGATCAATGCTGTTGACAGGAAGGTTCTGCGTGAGAAGCTACCAGAGCACATGATCCCTAAGCCAAAGCCTAAGCCAGCTCCCAAGAAGAAGGGAAGAGGGAAAGGCAAGGGGGAACCTGAGGAACACAATGAGGATGAGAAGAAGGAGGAGGCAGTGGAGATCCCGCCAGACCCAATCTTCGTCGACCTGATGGACATGGACTCCTGCAGCGATGCTGAAATTCAAGCCCCTCGATTTGTGTGATTAAACTTAAAGTGTTGAATTGTAAAGATATCTAAAAAGCCACCACACATGAACTGACAATAACTGACAGATAGTTCACGGGTGACTTTTTCACCTTGAAAATGCAACGACTTGGTTTAAAGTTGTTTAGTATGGGTTTCAACATATCACGTTTACTCAGGTCATTGAGCCGGGAGAGGAGAAGCTGACCGCGAAGCAGTTGGAAAGGAAACGAAAACGCGAGGAGCTCAAGGAAGCAAGGACTACGCGCGCCAAGCAAGAGAAGGGCAGCCGGGAATTGGTGAATTTGGCATCCAAAGCCATCACCTCAGTGCAGCCTGCATTGACCAAACTTGAAAATGCAGAGAAGTCCATCGCTAAGTGCAGGGACAAGATTGAGGACATCACTATCGAACAGTTGGATGAAAGTTTGAAGTGGTGCAAGGATGTCTTGACCGAAGCCCATGCCATCATGAAGAAGGTCGGCAGTGGTGGATTGGCGCTGGACAGTGAATACACTGTGATCCGCAGTAAAGTCATTGGGCCTGAAGTCAAGGCGTGCAACTCTGTCGCCAAAGCAGTTGCAATAGCCAAGAAGGGGGCCAAGTGATGGAGGTGCCCTTGGAGCACACTTTTCCAAAGCTTCGGGTTTTTAGGCTCGCAGTTTTAATTCAGGGACAATTCAACCCAGCCTTTTCACGTGGATGGAAAGAATTTTCGTACCACCTGCAAAGGCATGTCTTGCAACAATAGCTCAAGCTGCATATCTCAGACAAAATGTTCCGCTACAAAAAACAGTTGCCGCTTTCAAACTTGCGTTGGATAGAGCGGTGGTCCGCCTATCCCAAAACTGTTTGAAAACAATGTTTGCCGACGTTTTTGCAGGTACCAGTCATGAAGGGTGTAAATAGAATGGTTCACGTTGCCCTTAGGCTCCACCCGAAAGGGCTTTCCAAACCTTGGGGTTGAGTGGTGCTTGTTCAATCCTCCTTTAGTCCTTTCATCAAGGTCTTTAATGTTAACTACAGTAGCTGAAAGACAGCAAACAAGTAGCTTGGTGTGCCCATACACGCGCAAACTAAACTGATACACTCTATATGCTCTCTACAGTTGGGAAGTGGACCACCACATCCCCAAATTTTGGCACATGGACCACCACGTTGCCCAACCACAAATTCCAATTGAAGGATCTATTTAGGCGCATATGTTTAAGTTTAGTAAGTTACTTGCAGGGTTCGCATCAATCAACCCCCAACTATTCACATCAATCTGCTGTGGCGCGGCGCTGTGGTAGATGGCTTCATCCTCAACCGAACCAGCAAGAAAGCGACCCAACCTCTCGAAGGCATTGGCCATTGCTTCGGGGCAGCAAGTGTTCAAGTTACAAAAGCTTGCAGCTGGGGAGCTGGCTTCAACAAAGCCAAGTGGAGCTTTCAGAAGGCAAGTGAGCAAAATACTGGACGCTCCGAGACAGTGTTTCATTCAGCTTTGCATCGATGATTTGGAAGGGAATCCGATCTATTATTGGTTGGCAGATCTGCCAAAGCTTCTGGAATATGTAGTGCAACACTCTTCTTCATACAAAGAACGGTTCTATCGCGCAGGTTCAGAACTCAACATTATATTGAATGCTGATGAAGCAACTGCAGGAAATGTTTTAGCCACTTCACCGGCTAAGAAAGCGATGCTGTTCTATGTAGCAGTGCTAGAGATCGGTCACCTGAAATCTGTGGAATCATGGATGCCCTTTGGATTGATCACCCACAGGGACCTCATTAAAGTGGACGGAGGATTCAGCGCAGTTTGCGCCCAAGTTGCAAGACATTTGCATCCTTTGTTGAGGTCTGGAGCGCATGTGGCCGGACAGCTGAGACACTTCAACCTGAAGGGCTTTATTGGTGACTATGAGGGAGTGTGCAAAATGATCAGTTCGAAGGGAGCAGCGGCATTGAAGCCCTGTTGTTTGTGCTTGAACTGCGTTAGTTCCTCGTCAGGAGTAGAAAAAGCAGACAGTCACTTTGCTACTATTGCGTCTTCCAAGTTCTCTGACTTCCACCTGCACAACACAGAGGAGTTGAGCGCTATGTATCAAAGGTTTCTCGAAGAGTCCAGAAGCATGACGCAGTCAGAGCTTGCCGAACGGGAACGCCAGTTTGGCTACATCCTGCATCCAAAAAGCGTGCTTTGCTGTCCTATGGCGCGGGAAGTGTTGAGCTTGGAGAAGATCATCATTGATCCTCTCCACTGCTATTTTGCAAATGGGATAGCATCTCAGGAGATGGTTTTGCTGCAACAGTGGTTGGAAACGACAAAGGGGGTCACTCTTAATGATCTGGCTGCTTCAGTCCGTCAGGTAGAATGGACGTGCTGTTCAAAACAATATAGATCTCCGTCGGCCAGGGGTTTTTTGTTTCACCAGCCGCTTTGGCAAGGTGTATGTTACAAGGGCAGTGCTTCATCGGTTTGGTACCTTTTACCACTGTTCTCCTACTACACTTCAGAGTTCTCAAGCAATGATGACGACCCCGAACTTCGTTCCTGGTACGCGCTGATGAAAGCCTCTTAGCTGATAGTTCTATTGTTTGTTGCTATATGATGCTTCCTCTTTGAGTGATTCCCCGCTCTGCTGTTCTCCACTTAGAAAAGTGAAGGGATACAGGGATTAAAGTCAGCTGGTTTCAAGTTTCAGGTGATTCAATCGCTGAAAGATCTTCGCCGTGGATGGGGCAGCCTCAGGGAACTGTCAGAAGCCCAAGAACGGCACCAAGAACTTTTCTCCTTAGCTTATCCAGGCCACTCACGCCCAAAGCACCATCTAAGATTACACTTGAGCTCCTGCCTTCAATCATTTTACGTTGACTGCTGGCCAACAGAGGCTCGTCACAGAGCCTACAAGGGTCAGCTTGCTGACGCGTTGCAGGGGCAATTGGGCCAAGGTGGCGGTGCTTTTTCACACCAAGTGCTTTCAAGAATGTTGCACCGTACAGTCGAACTCCAATCTGGAAATTGGAGGCCACAGCTTGCAGGCCAAACATACCAGGCCGAACAAGTCGCTGAACTTGCTGGGTTTCATGCTTCTGTGAGCACAAAATTTGTGCATGGTAGCTTGGAACTTGAAAAAGACCAGATTGTTTTCTGGGATGGAGGCAAAGCAGGATGGACTCATTTCTTTGCAGAGGAAGCTGGGCAATTCGTGGTGTTGCTGGAAAGGCTGCAAGAGGCCCCAGCGGACAAACCAAATGTCCGTAGGTTTGCCCGAAGCAGGCAAAAGGAATTCTGGCGGCTAGACGGTCTGCACCGGTTGCACCAACCAACATGGTGGTATGAAGAGCATGGTTTCATCCTAGCTTTGCCGTGAGACAGGTGATGTGGGAAAAACAGTGCTTGCTCCTCATGTTGAGTTTTCCTTTTCTTTGCGTGTCCGGGTTGTCCTTGCCAGGTGGTGGTCCACTTGGTTCGGTCGTGGTTGTTGTTCCTTCGTGTGTTTTCGCTGGTCTCTTCTGGTTTGCTTTGCGTTCGTCCTTTCTTTGTTTTGCTGCTTAGGGCTAGCCCTGGACACTTGCAATCAACGGTAAACAAGTTAAACAAGTTACTAACTTGGTTAACTAAATTACATCTTAGTTCTAACTATGGCAGGGGCATTCTTTATAACTTATTTATAACTTAGTTTTATCTTTCACATCTCAAACAAGTTAAGTTATAAGTATGCTATCTAGGGGGGGCGCTCATTGTACTAGTAGTAACAATGTTTGCTATTAGAAACAAGTGCATCGCTTCTAGTAACAAGTGCCCTACTAGTAGTAACAATGTTTGC